TTTCTCTCTTTCTGTTTTTCAAGTTTTTTCTTCTCTTCGTGTTTTTTATTTCATTCTTTATTTTATCTATTATAAAGTTATGGTGCAGCTAAAGTGTCCCTTTAGGACCGAGATGGTCATAGGACAATTATGCTTAATAAAAGAAAAAAAATAATACTACCGATAGAAAGAAGAATAAATGTTCGTTTATAGATTAATTAGTCTACGCCACATTGACATTATATTTCTGCCGTCGAGGTCACCCATTCATTTTATTCTATGGCACCGACGACACAAATAAATCTATATATATATACATCATAAGAGACGTATTCGTCGCAATGAAAATGAATCAATGTAAGATTGATTTTCTTGATCTACCTACTGAAATATTAGTTATTATTTTAAAAAAGCTCAATAACATAGATGTTCTTTATTCATTATTTGACGTTAATAATCAACGTCTTAACAACATAATAGAAGAAAATACTTTCACTAATACTCTCAATTTTGTATTACCAACATTAACTGATGATATTTTATCAATTTCTGATCGAATGCTTGATAGATTCTGCATGAATATATTGCCAAAAATTCATCATAATGTTAAATCTCTTATTCTTAATTCATTATTTATGGAACGTATTCTTGTTGTTGCTGATTATCCTAATTTAAGTGAACTTAAACTCTTCAAATTTAATGGTAAAATTGCTTCACATTATTTTACAGGTAAATAAATTCTATTCTCATCTGAATAAAGATTTTTGTATAGATAAAGTAAATAACTATTTTTTATTTAGTAAAATCACCATTTCGACGTATTTTTCAACGACAAATTACAGACCTTATTCTTGTATTTGAAAATGATTATAATGAAGAATTATGTGAACATTATACAACAGATGTTTATGGATTTATCTTCGAATTCTTCAAAAATTTAAAACATTTATCTATTATTGAATTATGTCCTAACTCTTTTCCACCTCTATTACTTCATAATTTACCCTCAACTACTTGCTACTCTTCAACTCTTTACAAATTATGTATTAATGTTATGTATTATGATGATTTACTTGCTTTACTCGATGGTCGTCTCAAACAATTAAATACATTAAATGTCACTATTACTGAACAGGATTATTATTTAACACATATTTACAATATGGTAAGTTTAGACTTGATTAGATTTATCTTTTCAATTTAGCAAAAAAAAAATACTTATGATCACGACGATAAATTGTTTTCATATAATTATTTCAAAATTTTCTTAATTAATTATCTTTTATTTGAATCAACTATGATTAAATAGGTGTAAAACAAATATCTGTCTAGTTGGAAAAGAAATAAATCAAATCATTGAGTTTATTTGAAATAAACAATAGTAATATGTTTGAAGAGTAAGACTAAAAATATTTATCTTAATATAGTTAAAATATGTATATTGATGGAGTTCTTTGACAAACTGATAGAAGGTCGAATTTATTTCAATCGAAGTTTACCTTGAATAGATAGAAAAATTCTGAGCTTTTTTCTTTTTAGTCATTCAAATTGTTTTATAATAGAGGAAAACATGAGTAGGACGAGCATTAAAAGAGGATAAAAAGGACCAAAGAGAAGAAACAAAGCGTGAATAATAAGTGACAAATAACGAAAGATTATTAAATATAAAGAAGTTTAATCCAAGTAACTTTGATTTGTTGTGAATTGATGAGTTGTTCGATAGAGATTTTTATTTATCTAATGGAAATTGTCACGTTTATGAGATGATAGAACTTTTTTTTTCTTTTGTATATAAATAATATTTTTCTCACCTATTTAACTATAATGAACATAATTAACCTAAAATTTCCGATTAGTTGAAGTATTTCTTATTTGTTATCTTGTGGATGTTGAAAAATGGAAGATATATTATTTATCCTTGTTGAAGATTTAAATATTATAGAACTGAAGAAACATGTTAAAATGAATAAAATACAAATCGAGCCACTTTTCAATCAATTATTCCGTGGGAGCTTTTTTGATTTTAATCTATAATAATACATTTACAAATATTGATTTGTATTTTCTAGAATAATCTACCTGATTTGAAATGTTTTTATTTACAATCTGGTTGTTTCAATGGTACATATTATGGTCACGTTTTATCTCTTTTACATCGTATGTCAAACATTGAAGCATTAAATTTACATCTTACTATTGATAATCAAACAACATTTATTGATGGTAAACATATTTATAATGAATTTATTGTTCATATGTCACGACTTCGTACATTTAATTTTTATTTTTATACTTTTATTCTATTGAATAAATCAGTTAATAATTTATCTAAAGATGACATTCTACAAACTTTTCCTAATATTATATATCAACAAGTGGACTGTATGTTCGATTATAGATATAATGATATCAAATATCATCTATTTTCATTACCATTTATGTTTGATTATCTTCCTTTTATTGATAATGTATTTCCAAGTATTATATTCGACCATGTTATAAGGTTGTTGGTGGATGATGAAACTCCATTCGAACATGAATTTTTCATGAGAATTGCTTGCTCTTTTCCTTTACTTAAAATATTATCTATTTACAATCGTTTGCCACAATTAACAATATCAAATAAATTAATCTCTAATGATAATCAATTATGTTCAACAATTATTAAATATCCTTATCTTACTTCACTTGATCTTCAATTTGCTCATGAAGATTATATTGAACAATTTCTTAATGATCAAAAAACATACTTACGTCATCTAACCAAATTAAAGGTTACTGACTATGGGTTAATAAGTGTTACAAGAAATTTTACAAACGAAAGAACACGACTCAATTGTATGAACGTGAAACAATTAAATATAAGTCCCAAAATAAGTATACATTCAGAAGATTTCTATGCTTATTTTCCTTCATTGTAATTTTACTTTTTTTTTTGATTAACTTAATAAAATGAATAATGAAAACAGTAATTGTATTTTTCTAATCAAATCATTTTGAATAACAATTATCAATTAAATATTCTGATTAACTCAGGAGTGTTTTTTTATTTGAAGAAAATGTTTACAATAGAATTTCGAGTTGTGGTGGGTTCAGCTCCGCATATTTTCAAAACTATCAGAGGAATTAGTGAATTTTTCTATTTCCAGGTACATGTAATGAAGCTGGAAGTGTTCCATGAGATAGGACTCACTTCGTTGCACATTTTTTTAAAGGAAATTCACTGAACTGTTTAGTAGTGTATATTCTGAAGAACGATATACTCACTAATTAGAATATCAGTTTCTGAAAAAATATCATTCTACTGATGTTTTAAATTTCAGTTGTTTGGTTTTCGTCAAGGCAGTAGGCCCACTAGACAACCATTGTGTTTTGTGCAGTGTTTGTATTTCAGAGATGTCATGTACGACGAGTTTTAAATCATAGATCCATTCATATTGCTAGATAAAAAACTCTTATGAGGAAACGATCCCAAGTGTTAATCGCCGTTTTAAATCTGGTATTTGCCATTTTGCAGAGCTCAATGAGTGCAACATCAGATATAAAGGGTTCGTTCCCATAATGAACTTTTGAGGGACTACAAGGTATCACAAAGGGTGTCCCATAGTAACTAACTGCTGTGATAAATTGTTATGGCATTTTGCATACTTTATCCTTACATAGAGAGCTGAAATTTTTATCACATATATACCCCTGGAAAAAAAATAGCTGCAGTCAGTATTTCAATGATTTTGTTACCATAATAAAATCATTTTTTAAACTTAATTACATATTCTGAAAGTCCATGGAGTTCTCCACCATCCTGTGTATTTACCCTTGACTTTGTACTTAGAAATTATCAAAATAAATTGGTTACAATGAATGCATCCTCATGTCCAGATTCCGAAAATTTTTTTTNTAAATTTAAATAAATAAAATTTTTTCAATATTAAATCAAACTAAATTGAATTGAATTAAATTTAAACTTTAAATTTAAAATTAAATTTAAAATAAAAGAAGAGAATAAAATAATGTCAAATTGTAACTATAAGATAGTCACTAATCTGAATTTTGTTATTGATAAATATATTTCCTGACATACCTTTTTCAACTTCTAATATTATAGTATGAATTGAAATGCGGGAAGAAATGAGTCGAGAAAGTATTGAAAAGTATGAAGAGGTAGGCCTGTCAAATACGAGATGTAAACGTTGTAGTGTATTCTTATGAAATGCTAAAGGTGTTAACAATGATTTGATAAATCCATATGAATAATTTTCTGCATTGAATATAACAAGTTGCTTTATTGATGGTAACATCATGTTTACGAATAGTTGACTATCATTTAAACTTTTTTCCCAGTAGTTAAGTAACATCAAGCAAGCTGCTGGTGCGCCACGAAGTACAAGAGTATCTATCAAAGCAGTAAAACGCTTTGTAGTATCATTATTAATATTGCTGAGAAATTGGTACAATTGATCATAATGCATTGAACTAACATCTAACGAATGACGTATGGATGTAAGAAGATGTTCGATCCTACTATTTTTTACATAAAGAAAGGCTTGACACAAATGAAATGAAGATAAATAACGAAATATAATGAGTAAAATTTCATTGGGTAATGATTCGAATGTGCTTTTGTTCATTCTTTTATTAATGAACTGACCTGTATAGATGCATTTCCTTTGAATATATATAGTTCGTATATATGTATGGACGGTCATTGTTATGTGTGTTACGTCTGATGAGTATGTTCATCTTTTTTTATTGGATGAACAATATTTAGAAAAAAATCAAATAGTTAAATCAAAAGAATATTTGACGATATTTTTATGATTATGTAAAACCTTGCTTATAGATATTAAATATTATTTTCTTTTTCATATTTCTACATATGTAATTGTTTGAAAAAATCTCTTTATTGTACTTTCGTGATTTGAATGATCAATAAATCAATGTTATTTTTTGATGGATTTCTGGATAAGTTTATGTCTTATTCATCTTTATAATCATGGGATATTCCCTTTTATATAAGATGATCAATTATTTCAAGCTCTATCCACATGAGAAATTTTGGCTGCATTTTTAAACACAAAAATGATTAATAAAATAAAACTATCCTAAAGTTTTGATATTAGACTGGACGGAAAAGGAGTCTACGACAATTTCCAATGATATTATCACTGAAATTTTCGTCTGAATAGCTTTCAATGATAAAGTAACTTAGTAAATATCAACACTTGAGAGTGACACTAGCAGTACTTCTGCAGTTTGTCTAACAAGGGAAGGTCCCAGGTGTATGCCAGGAATTTCATTGAAACTTATGCAGATTTGTTAATTCAAGTGCAGCTATGTCAGATATGAAACAATTAGCGGCTACGGCTGCGCCAATAAAAAATTGTAGCGAAAACACTTTCTGAAAAATTGACATATATACTTCACCATATAAGTTTTTTTCTTTTTCAATCATGATGTTTAAAGTCGAATTGCGTACCGTTTTATAGCGTGCAAGTAGCTCCATAAAATAGCTTGTCTCATTTATTTTTCCATAATTGATCGCAAAGAAAAGATTGTGCCACTATATGAGATATACACAGAAGTATAACTTCGTTTTTTCAAAATATTTTCTTAGTTTTGAAGATATACTGCTTAATAGTATACACACTATCTACGTATGTTCGTCTAGTTGAAAGAAAGAAATTAAATAATTGAGTTTCATTGAAACAAACAGCAATGATATGTTTGAAGAGTAAGACTGAAAATATTTATCCTCATATAGTTAAAAGATATATGTAGTTGTTTGACAAATTGACAAAAGATCAAATTTATTTTAATCTAACTTTTCCTTGAGCAGCTGAAAAAAATCCTTGCTTTTGGTTCTTGTTTTTTAGTCATTTTCGTTATTGTATAATAGAGGAAAAAACAAATAGGACGAGTATTGAAAGGACAAAAAGGGCCAAAGACAATAAACAAAATTAAAAATCATGTGAATAATAAATGATAAGAGACAAAGATTATTAAATATAGAAAAGTTTGATCGAAGTAACTTTCATTTGTTGTAAATTGATGAGTTGTTCGATGAAGATTTTAATGATTTATATATTGGAAATAGTCACGTTTATCAGATGATATAACTTGTTTCCTATATAAATAATATTTTTCTCATATATATATAACTATAATGAATAATATTCACCTAAAATTTTCGAGTTATTTCAGTATTTATTATTTATTATCTGTTGGATATTTAGAAATACAATATAATTATTTTAGTCATCATTGTAGAAGATATATATATTATAGAATTGAAGAAATATTTTAAAATGAATAAAATACTAATAGAGCTATTTTTCAATCAATTATTTCGTGAAAACTTTTTCTTATTTTAATCGATTGCTAATACATTTATAAATATTGATTTATACTTTCTAGAATAATCTACTTGATTTGAAATGTTTTTATTTACAATATGATTGTTTAAGTGATATATATGATAGTCAAATTTTATCTCTTTTACGTCGGATGTCAAATATTGAATCATTAAATTTACATTTTACTATTGATAATCAAACTACATTTATTGATGGTGAACACATTTATAATGAAATTATTGTTCATATGTCACAACTTCAAACATTTAACTTTTGTTTTTGTACCTTTATTCAATTGGATTATTTAGTTCATCATTTATCTAAAGATGATATTCTACAAACTTTTTCTAACATTATGTGTCAACAAGTGGATTGTATGATCAACTATCGGCGTTATGATGTCAAATATCATGTATTTTCATTACCATTCATGTTTGATTATCTTCCATTTATTGATAATATATTTCCAAATATTATTTTCAATCATGTTATAAGGTTGATCGTGGATGATGAAATTCCATTCAAACATGAATTTTTCATGCGAATTGCTTGGTCTTTTCCTTTACTTAAAGAATTACATGTTTTTAATCTTATGCCACAGTCATCAATATCAAACAAATTAAACTCTAATGATAATCAATTACATTCAACAATTATTGAATATCCTTATCTTACTTTGCTTAATCTTGGATTTGTTCATCATGATTATATCGATCAATTTCTTAATGATAAAAAAGCACATCTACCTCGTCTAACCAAATTAATAGTCAATTACTATAAATTAATAACTGTCACGAAAAATTTTACAAACGATAGAACACGAGTCAATTGTATGAAAGTGAAACAATTAAATATAAATTCTAAAATAAGTATACATTCAGAAGATTTCTATGTTTATTTTCCTTCGTTGTAACTTTATTTTTGTTTCGATTAACTTAATAAAATGAATAATGAAAACCTATGAATAATATTTTTGCAATCAAATCATATTAAGCAACAATTATTAATTATATATGATGATTAACTCGAGAGTTTATTGTTTTCTAGACAATTTAGGTATATAAAAACAACAGAACTTTTCTAATTCGATTTTTTTGCACATTAATTATTTTTATTAAGCAGTAAGTTTCAAGGATTTTACTATTAGTATTTATTAATTATATAAGTACTGCACAAATTTCCATCTTTTCTGAAAGTTTAATAGTATATGAATGGGAAAAGTAGACTTTCTAAGGAAAATAATTTGTATTCGACCACAAGATTTGTTCTTATTTCGTTTATTGAAATTCATTCATAAGAAAATCGAACATTATACATACATACATTAATCGAGCAGAAATCGATATGACTGATCGTCAATATATTATACATATGTAATATGTTATTCACGACTAATTGTCATTTCCATCATTGAAAAATCTGACTAAATCGGAATTCATACAAGCTAAAATAATTGGAGAAATTGAAAGAATCGAAGGATATCTCTTTTTGAGATTTTATGATCTTTATTGTTTGATGATTAATTGTGAATATTGTACATTTCTAGTTTACACTTGATCCAAAAAATGCCTTGGTCACTATCATATAATTGAAGATGTTCATATTCATTTGTAATGTATTATAGTAAAAACGTGTTGTACTTTCTATTGATTTCAATGGAAATAAAATCAAAAGTATCGAAAATTTATTAATTAAAATGAACAAAAGTCTATCTTTTCCTATTCATATACTAATAAACTTTTAGAAAACGTCGAAACTCATGTAACACTTATATCACAGATAGATAAATACTATTAAAATTCTGTAAACTCACTGCTTGAAAAAATAGTTCATGCACAAAAAAAACTGAAATAGAAAAGTTCTCTTGTCCTTATATACCTAAATTGTCAATACCTTAAAATATGAATAACTCGGTGCAGGCTCGCTATTAGCAGTTCATATTTTAAATTTGCTAGTTTTGTGTTGAGAGTGATAATTTAACCCGAACATGAACAATCTTATTAACTGATATGACAAACTCTTCCATTGTAAGGATAATATTAGTAATAAATTTTTAAGAACTATTTGGGAGTAGTATTAGTAACCTTTAGAAGGCTATCATGAGATAACCCTTGGTAACTTTCTGACGGCTATCTAGAATTAGTATCAATAACTTTTTGGAGATTATTTGAGGGTACTATTAGTAAATTTTTGAAGGCTATCTCGAGATAGTACTAGTATCAAAATTTTTAAAGAAGGCAACTGAAAAAAAGAAAAAAACGTTATTACTTTTGAACGAAAAGTCATAGCGACCTGCAGTTTTCACCATTCAATAGAGGAGAATGTAGAATAGCAGTGTTTTTGTATTTGTAAATTTTTTGATTCAATTAATTTTGTAAATAAGAAATAAAGGTTCTTTTGTGAGAATAGATCGATGAAAAATAGAAAGAAAATATGATCAAATAAATTGTAAGAGAAAAGAACTTTCTTTTTTTCGGGAACTCGAAAATGAGCATTTTTTATATGCTTGTGTCCGACACTGTCCTCTATTGAATAGTGAAAACCTCAGATTGCTACGACTTTTTGTTCAAAAGTTATAAGGTTCTTTTTGTTTTTTTTTCAACTGTCTTCTTTAAAAATTCTGATGCTAGTAACTTTCTGATGGTTATCTAGGGGCAGTATCAGTAACTTTTGGGGGCTACTTGGAGGTAGTATTAGTAGGTTAGGGAAAGCTACCTAGGGTTTGTATTAGTAATCTTTTGAGAGTTATCTGGGATGGTCTTTATAACATTTTGATTACTAGTCGAGAATGGTACTTGTAATTTTGAAGCCAAATTAGACATGGAATCTACAATTATTGAAGATGTTCTTCGCAATGATTAACAGAATTTTCGGCTGAGACACTTGCGAAAAAGTGTACCACGATTCATAGAGCGTGAAAAAAGTCTCAGCGTATTGTTTTCGGAGATTTTATGGCTTCTTTGATTTAGTTGAATGTAAAAGTTGTCTTTGAGTTAGCGAAGATGCTTCAAAATCATAGAATATCTCAAGAATAATGAATTCCACCTAACTCAAAGTATGATTTTCATTCATCATAAATACGTTATTAACGTATAACATGAGTCTGGAAAACATCGGAAACGTTGTACAGTATGCCAGATAACACTGCTTTGGGCTTCGATGCAATCTAGATTGAAACTGGCGGGTACACTAAAAGCACTTGAAAAAGATTCTACATATACTAACGAAACCGTATGAATGATTAGTTTATAAAATCATGAAAATTCTCATCATTTCATCTAGTCAAAACTTCAATACTAATAGGTATTGCTTTGGTTTATCTCTTTAAAAACATAGGTTCACGCGAAATCAAAGTTATCTCAGTCTAACTTTTCCTTTATAGCTATAAACAGTCTTTATCCTTTTAGTCTTTTTACTTGTTTTATTAACTCTAATCTTTTTTGATGGTTCTTATTGTTCATTTTGTATTAATTGTAAAGTGACAAAAGTGACTAAAATAAATGAAATGACTGAACGTAGTAAAGAGAGTTAAACTAGCAAATCGAGTAAAAGAAGTATGAGGATTAAAGACACTAAAAAGTTTTCTCTAAAGATACAATGATGATGATAAATCACCGATTTATCGTCACCTATTCACCGGTCCGAAATGATAACCGATGTTGACCGATAAACAGTTCAACGATAATTGATCGAACCGATAAAAGATTCAATTGATGTTGCTTCTTGTTATGGACAGGTATGATTTAATGAGGAAAATAAAAAAAAAGATAAAGTACATTTTATAATATTCTAGAAATGGATAAATAGAATATTTGATCTATCTATGATAGAATTGGTGAATTGAGCTGTATTTTCTTTTTTCATTCATGCTTGGGTGAAGTCTTTGTTTCTTAGAATGATAATCTTTGTTTAATTGTTTCATATGAGGAAAAAGCAAAAAATGTGTCAATCAATTTTGATTATTGAAGTTTCAATTATTTATTTCTATTTGATATAAGAAAAAAATTCATATGAAGGGTTCTTATGAAAATTAGAAAGCATTTCGAAAGTCAACACTATATTTGTCTTTTAAAAGAAAAACTAAAATTTATTTATAGCGTATTATAGAAGTATAATCATACTTTGAAAAATAGCGAGCGAAATGCTCTAAAGTTTCAATAATTTCTGTTGGTTTTAACAAGTAAAACTTATCTCTAGGTTTATTTCGATGAAAAGCGTGATGAGAAATCATACTTTTAATTTTGTAATTAACTTCAAAAGCAAACAAAGAAAACTTTAGAGAAAGTAATTAAAGTACTCTATGTTATTTTTGATAAAGCTGATCGAAAATAAAAATCAATCGATATGTACAACGGGAAATTACATAGATAAAAGAAGACAAAAAAAGACGTCATCAGTCCTACTACTTATCTATATCATGCGTAATCCATCAAAAGTATCGAGGTCAGATTTCTGAATATATTACACAAATACTTGAGAATCTCTTAGAAGAAAAAAAAAAGATTTCGTTCATTGAGAAAGAACACGTGAAGATTTATATAGTCTATGCGGCCTGCTATTTTTCCAATCAATCTCTATTTAAACCACATAATAATTAATCTTGAATGAAAACTCTTGTGAATGTTTACCTTAGGCATTATGTGGATTTAGTCGAAGTAATTCTGCATTTTTCTTGCTACATATAGATAAGACTCAAAGTTTATAACATATTATTTGCTTTTTTTCTTCATATATATTTATTCTTGTGCACAAATTGATTAACTTTTAACTTTTATTTTTAATAATTAAAACAAAAACGAAAAAAAATTGTTTTTTTTAAGGCTGTTTGGCGATTGAATCAAGAAGGTAAAATTGCATCTGATGAACATTGTTTTATATCTGATCATGATACAGTAAAGAAAATATTTTGTTTGGATCATCATGATCGATGGAATCCTGTTCGTGAATGACAATGGAATAAAGTAAGAAGACGCATGAACAAATATTAATTATAAAAGAAAAACTTCTTTTTTTTTATTTAGACAACACAACAAATTCAACGTAATAAAGAACATTTATGTATGGATACAGATGGTAACAATTTAAAATTAGAAAAATGTTATACAGAAAAAAAATCGCAAAAATGGATCTGAAGAGAAATTCATTATTAACATTTTTTACTCTTTTTTTTGTTATAAAAATATTAATTTGTTTTCTTTTTTTAATATATTTTAAGTAAAAAATTTCGATAAAATAAAAAAAACAAAGAAATTTCGTTGATACTTCTGCTTTTTTTATAGATGTCATTTTCCTGATTCTCGTTATTTTTATTCTTAAGAAATTAAATGTTCAAGATTTTCTTCTTTTCTTTTCTCTAATAAAAATCCTGTAATGAATGTTATTTATATCAATATAAAGTTTACAATCAATCAGAAAGATGAGAAATGTTTTTCGACGTTCTCATGAATTTATTTTATATTTTGTAATTTATAATAGAGTTCATAGAACTCACAACATCTTTGAATATTTCAATTGAATAAAAGAAAAAAAAACAATCAGTGTCCATGTAGCACAAACAAGGTTTGCCGTTCACTTTATCTTATAATTAAACATGGCATTTTCATTCATGCCTAGCCAGGATTGATTTTAAATACGATTCCAAAAATCTGTCGTTCTCACTGAATAATATATCATCCGTCTCCTTAAATATCAGTTACTTTTTATATTTAGATTGTATCATTACAGAGAACATAAACATTTTCTCTCTCTTTCACTCCATAATGTTTGGGTCTCTCGAATATTCTTTTCACTTATCCGTATATAACTGATGTCTTTGATTCATAGGAAAAGTATGTACAACGGGAATACATTCATTTTTTGACTATTAGTCACTTCATTCCAAATGGATTAACTTTATCAAATAAACATCGACGAATAAAAAGAGAAAAGACATGATGGACAAAAATAGAAATAGTAGACTATACTATTAAGAAATAAAGAATAAACAATACATGTGCGCATATGGTAGAAATTCTGGAATAATAATAGAAAAAAAACATTTAAACTATGAAACGATGAGAAAAGATTAGAATACATTAGTATAACCGAAGATATTGATTCTAATTTCATTTCACATAATGTGAATAGAATTTATTTAGAATGTATATCAATAATGTAGTAGATCTAGTAGTATTCAAAACTAAAGAAATGAGAATATTTAACCTATTGAGATAATCTCAGTTGTCAATGAACTGAAGACTCATCATCAGTTTTATCGCGTTAATTTATTTTTTCTTTTTTTTTAAATGTTATTAATTGGTGATTCTCTTTTACATCATGTACAAAAACCATTAACAACTCCATGTGAATCTGTTGAAACTCATATTGAATCAATTGATGGTTGTACAATTGATCGTTGAATATCTCTCATAAAACACGAAAATTTTAATAAATTATTTTTCAATCAAAAACATTTAATAATTATGATTGGTACAAATAATTTAGCACGTGAAAAATCTCAATTAACAATAAATAAATTAGAAAAATTAATGAATCGAAAACAATGTAATTGTATTCAATGCATTACATACATTATTTACTCTCTCAGCTTATTTATTTATGCCAAGAATATTTGGTTAGTTCATTTTATTAATTATTCTTTCAATACGTTTGTTTTGTTTTTCCTTAAGCATGAATTATTCATCTGCAAGTATGTGCATGGATAAAACAAGATCCAATTGAATCTAAACTAATTTCAACACGGATTGAAGCACATCATAATGTACTAAAATTCGATAGTAAGATTTAATGATAATAAAATAGATAAATTATTTCTTTTGATTAGCAAGTCTCAATACATATAAAGATGGTAGTCATCGTGAAATGGCATGTTTAAAAATAACTAGTGAAGTTCTTTTATATGCATCAATTATTCCAATAATTGAACAACAAATGAATAAAATTAATTTATGGAATTATTATATAACGATTGAAATGCCAGCATTAAATATTATTCTTCAAATGTTACTTGATGGAATATTAATTAATCGAGAAGAATTAATTTATATTCGAGAAGATCTTCTCGTATATATATACAGGGTGTCCTGAAAGTCATTGACCAAAAGTTTTTTCGTGTATCTTTACTATTTCATTTAACTTTATCAATAAAATTTTTTTTAAATTATAGGTGAATATACCAAGTTTTTATTTATCCGAA